CACAAGACGCCGTTAGGATCCTCCTCTGGCGGCGTAGTTTTACTCCCGCCAACGATCTCCCATAGATCACGTCCTTGTAAATAGGACATCATGCATGTTGCCCACGTGTTTTAGTTGTTGTTGTTGAGTTTCTTGATTCCTCCAACGATTTGGAAATCGCCCATCGTGTTGGCAATATCTAAGTAATACCAAAAAGGCTCTTTCGACACAAGACTTGCAGAGTCACAGACTGCTCATGGCACAAAATCAACTCACTCACTAATAATCTCAAGAAATCGTTTCTGATGTGGAAGTTAAGGCAGAGCTGCAACCACAGAGCATACTAAGAATTTCAAGAGATCAGACAACTTACACTAACTTCGCCTGATACCAGATTATTGAACACTATTCTCTGTGAGAACACTCGCACTCTTTCTTAACACAAATCGAGAAGAGATTACAAGACACCTTGTAGAATACTACTGCTTTATATTTCTTGGGATGAAAACTTAGGTAGGGTGAAGGGGTATTTAAAATAGACGTCAGACAATTTATTCCAAAAATCTCTCAACCTTTAAGTGTGTCATGTGTATCTGAGGTAGATTATGCTATGAGGAATTCATGCATATTAGTGTGTCGTGCATCGGGATACTTACATTCCGACTTATGATTTTTGATATTTATGTGCGTCGTGGTGTTATGCAGACCCTTTCTCTCTGTGCTGTTCAACATGAGCTCGTTAGCGAGTGCTAGCCCATCGAGCCAGATCCAGGGGGTGTGCGAGCCCACCTGGTGGGTCCATGCTCACATACATGGGTCATGTGAAGAGAAGTACTGCACATCCAATCTTGCCCGGACTAAAAAAACTGTCTAAGGCCATGTTGTGATATGTTAAATGGATAGATCCCCCCATGGCACGACACGTGCAGGGTCACAACACACACGTTGTCCATGCGTCAAACCATTCATCTAATCAAGCTAGTAGTGAAACCACTTAGTTTGTTGTCCAATGTCGAGTTACAAATTATCTTCGGAACTAGGTTAAATCTGCTTGTCTAAGTCCAATTCAACCTAGGTGAGTTTTTGAGATTGAGTTAATACTTAATATATGATCCAACTCTTCTAACCGTGTTAACTAAATCCATTTTTGGCTGAAAAATAACTTAAAGTTATCGACTAGTAGACATACTCACCTCAAATACTTTAAGAAAGAGTCGGTTTGGGAGATTCTTTCCTACATTTATTTATTTATTTATTTATTTTTATTTTTTATTTTTATTTCTGTCTCTTCTTATCTCATTTTTAGCTAATTTTGACAAACTTTAATAATTCTAGGACTATTCTCATGCTCATCTCTTTGCAAAACTTGATATAGATAATTTTGATATTTAATTTTCTAACCCAAATTGATGGAATTGTGAGGAAGAGAGAATTTGAACTTTTTTTTCGTATTGATATAGGGGATGGTCTCTTAGATGGTGATTCTTTCTTTCCCATGTGGACCTCCGTAATGCTGAAAGGATGAATGTAGTTGATTTTATATGGAGACTGATGATGCATGTTACACATATTTCCTAGAAACTATATATTCAATACTCTTTTAAGTTATATTCGAAGAAATTTAATACAAACGATTTGATTTCCTGCTTTAGCAGCGATTCCTCAACAAAAAAAAAAATCATGCTCTTCATTTTTTAATAAAGTGGTAAAGCATATTTTCTTCTATTTACGTTGTAAATTTAACTAAATTATTCTTTAGGTTCTTCACGGTCAACAATGTAATGAAAGTAGATATATGAAATAGGAAACTCAAACCGGTCAAATTATTACCTTCCCCATTAATTTTTATTATTATTATTGAATATGTATTATACTCATAGTTTGGGTAGATGAGTTAGTCATATTGGTGTCAGTCAACCTAGCATAGATGGTGTTATAAGTTTTTAAGGATGCATCCCAAAATAAATCTTAGATTATATCCGTAGTGTAATGGAAGGAGTATGTGGTGTAGGAGGAGGATGGTCGGATGTTCTTCGGCTCGGCCCAGACGGAGGAATGGGTACACCTTTCGGTAACATTCCAAAGTTGATTTTTGGCCAAAGAACTGGATAGTCTGAAGTCCTTTGACTCGGCCAAGACGGAGGAATGGGTACACCTTTTGGTAACATTCCAAAATTGATCTTAGATTGTGTGTTTAAAATGACAGATGATGCATGTGGTGGAGTTGGAGGATAGTCTGACGTCCTTTGACTTGGCCCAGACGGAAGAATGGGTATACCTTTTGGTAACATTCCAAAATTGATCTTAGATTGTTTGCTTAAAATGACAGGTGATGCATGCGGTGGAGGAGGAGGATAGTCTGACGTCCTTTGACTCGGCGCAGACGGAGAAATGGGTACACCTTTTGGTAACATTCCAAAATTGATCTTAGATTGTTTGCTTAAAATGACAGGTGATGCATGCGGTGGAGGAGGAGGATAGTCTGACGTCCTTTGACTCGGCGCAGACGGAGAAATGGGTACACCTTTTGGTAACATTCCAAAATTGATCTTAGATTGTTTGCTTAAAATGACAGGTGATGCATGCGGTGGAGGAGGAGGATAGTCTGACGTCCTTTGACTCGGCGCAGACGGAGAAATGGGTACACCTTTTGGTAACATTCCAAAATTGATCTTAAATTGTTTGCTTAAAATGATAGGTGATGCACACGGTGGAGGAGTTGGATAGTCTGACGTCCTTTGACTCGGCCCAGACGGAGGAATGGGTACACCTTTCGATAACATTCCAAAATTGATCTTAGATTGTTTGTTTAAAATGACAGATGATGCACGCGGTGGAGGAGGTGGATAGTCTGACGTCCTTTGACTCGGCCCAGACGGAGGAATGGGTACACCTTTCGATAACATTCCAAATTTGATCTTAGATTGTTTGTTTAAAATGACAAATGATGCATGCGGCAGAGGAGGTGGATAGTCTGACGCCCTTTGACACAACCCAGATGGAGGAACGGGTACGCCTTTTGGCAACATCCCAAAATTGATTTTAGATTGTCTGTTTAAAATGTGAGATGATGCCCGTGGTGGAGGAGGTGGATAGTCTGGCGTCCTTTGACTCGGCACGGATGGAGGAACGGGTACACCTTTTGGTAACATTCAAAAATTGATCTTAGATTGTTTGTTTAAAATGACAGATGATGCACGCGGTGGAGGAGGTGGATAGTCTGACGTCCTTTGACTCGGCCCAGACGGAGGAATGGGTACGCCTTTAGGTAACATTCCAAAGACTAGGGGTGGAGAAGGTGTCTAGTGAAATAATGTTCTTTGGCTTGATCTAGATGAAGAAATGGATATTCCTTTTGGATGCTTTACAATTTGGTCCGTCAATTCCTCTTCTCGAATGGTGTCGTCTACATCGACATCAACCACTTTTTTAGCATCCGTTTCCTAGACTATGAAGTGCAATCCAAAGAATATGAGAGTACACACTCTCAAAAATAAATTAGATTTATTTGACATCATATGTTCTATATGTTCTCTAAACTTCCATTTTTTTTTTATATAGAATTTGCTTCTCAATTAAAATTAAGGTTAAAATTAAGGTCTGGCTTTGCTATAAACCTTAAAATTAACATTTTATTGTTAGAAGAAAACAATAAAAAGAATTGTTTGAAATTTGTTTGGTAATAAGTTCTTAGGTTCACTATTGGCATTTTTCTTGCGAGCTTCTAAATTGTGTTTTCAAAGTTTTCAAAAGTAATGGGTTGATTCAATGTTTAGTTTTTGTTTATGGTTTTTTTATAACAATGGTGTTAATTATTAAATTTGTTTCCGTGTTGTTAATTTTTCACTTCTAGTAATATTTATTTAAAATATTACATTTTTATGTTTTAAATTTTATTTGATTCGACGGTAGCAAGATAGATATTTTGAAGATCGCACGTTAATGGCTTGTTCATCAATTTGATCTTTTATATTTGATGACATGTCAATTGTTTCCAAGAGACTTGTAGAGATTAATAAGCGTCATCCACTACCGGTTATTTGTTCACTATGGCTAGTGGACCTGTTTATTGGCTTTCAATATTACAGACTACTGTTTTATTGTTTACTACCAAAGCATATATGATGGTCACTAAGGCCATTAAAAAAACATTTGGATGCATTGTTTGGTTAATGGCTTGGGTATTTCTCACGAACACATAAAGATGTTTTGTGATAGCTAGAGTGATGTTTGTTTGTCCAAGAAAAAAGTTAATCATGCTTGAACCAAGCATATTCGTGTCTTATTTCATTTTGTTAGAGAACTTTTTATTGAAGGGACAATCGTTTATTTAAAATTTGAATTGCTAATGATCATATGAATATGTTGATAGAGGTGGTTGGAAAAGTTACAGCATTACATAGAGTTGATTAAGATTGGATGGAAGAAATAGTCGGTTCGATTGGTGATAGCAAAAGCAGGTTATCTGCTTCGAGATCTTCTTTAAAGGTGGAGATTGTTGAGAACTGTCAAGAAAACTTGGTTCATGAATACACTTGTAAACACTTTAGTTATTGTGATTGACTACTTCTCGTGGATGTATGAGAATTTCTTCTTTTCGAACTACGTAAATCTTTGTTTCTATTTGTTCAATTTATGTTCGTAGGTGTGTGAGTGTGATCGATCTTGTTTTTGTTTCTACTACAACAATTGGTATCATAGCACTTTAGTTATGGCATTTGGGTACAAGAAACACAACCTTCGAATTTAGAGTTTATGGCTATGAGAGGTACTAAAGATGGAACTTTAAGGGCTAAGGCTTTCCTCCAAAATTATTTCAGATATACCGTTTAAAATTCACGAAAACATCACGAATGCTTAGAGATCAATTTGCTCTTGCATGGGTTAGGAGTTCAAATCGCTCATTTGATGCAAGAAAATTTAGCATAGCAGAAAACTTCACAGAAGAAATTAATGGTGATTAGTGTTGGATTTTGATAATCGGCGAGGAAATCCTTTCTTTTTGGTGAGAGGAAATTGTCGACAGGAGGTTGTTGGAAGAAAAACAAAATGCCTACAAGAAAAGGAGAGAGAATGATTGAAATTTTGAGCTCCGCTTAAAATCAGGTTGTGAAATCTTCTGAACAGATTTCCTATTTAAATATAACCTATCCTAAAATGGCTGTAGAGTGGCAACTGAATCTGTGTCACTTCCTACAAAATTGGCGTCTAAAACTTCATTAATCCATTCGACGTGTTTGTCGAATGGTCAAACGAAGAATTAATGTAATCGTGTGAATCTAAATAAGGAAAAACTCAGGTTTTATCTAACAATCTCGTCCTAAAACCTGTGGTATATCTACCTTATTTCGTTTGAACTCCGTTTTGAGCCCTATGGCTCGGTGTCCCTGGCGGCATGTCCTCCAGACTCCACGTCTTGTTCGGCCGCCTCTTCTTCGAGTTGGCGCGCCGCCAGTCCAGGTGGTTCACCTCTTCCTAATAGGTCTTCCATCTTCCGGTACCTGGCCGAGAGGTTGACTGGTTGCTCTATCTCCAGCTTTAGGATGTAAAGGCGGTTTGCCGTGCACCGAACTTACGTGAGCAACCGTCGTCGATCATCGCAGATCCTAAGTAGCTTGTGCTTGATGGAAATGTTGCAGCCGGCCTTATCGAGTTGACCCAGGCTCACAATATTAGCCTTGAGTCTTGGGATGAAGTAGACGCTGGTCAGCTTGTGATGATTGCCTCCCTTGCCGACGAACAGGATGGTGCCGTGCCCTTCAATCTCGACGACAGAGCCATCGTCAAATTTCACCGTCTCGCGAATCCCCGAGTCAAGCTCGAAGAATGCAGACTTGGCCCCGGTCATATGGTTTGTTGCCCCTGTGTCGAGGACCCATCGCTGGTGCTCCTGCTGCTCGCCTCTTTCACCGATTCGAGCGAGCACTCGCTCCTCCTTCAATTGAATTGGCTCCCCATCCGGTGCATTTGTTATGCATAGTTGGAGCTCTTCCTCGGGTTCGACGCTCACCGGAGCAGTTATGCCGTCGTCAATTACCTCTGTGGATTTGGGGAGCTCTTCCTCGAGTTCGACGCTCACCGGAGCAGTTATGCCGTCGTCGATTACCTCTGTGGATTTGGGGAGCTCTTCCTCGAGTTCGACGTTCACCGAAGCAGTTATGCCGTCGTCGATTACCTTTGTAGATTTGGGGAGCTCTTCCTCGGGTTCGACGCTCACCGGAGCAGTTATGCCATCGTCAATTACCTCTGTGGATTTGGGAAGCTCTTCCTCGAGTTCGACGCTCACCGGAGCAGTTATGCCGTCGTCGATTACCTCTGTAGATTTGGGGAGCTCTTCCTCGGGTTCGACGCTCACTGGAGCAGTTATGCCGTCGTCGATTACCTCTGTGGATTTGGGGAGCTCTTCCTCGGGTTCGACGTCAGGTAGGACTAATGCAATCACCATGAAAAGGGTCGGCTCGTCCTCCTCAGATTGAGCCACATGGGCCTTCTCGGTGGTCTCCTTGTTCTTGAGCTTGTTCCAGCAATTCTTGCTCAGGTGACCTCTCTTCCCATAGTACGAGCACTCGATTGGCCCGTCATCAGTCGGCTCCTCCTTCTTTTGATCCGCCTCTTTCCCGTGCATGCGCCAGCGAGATTTCCACGACTTCTTACCGCCTTTGCGACTGGAGGGCCCATTGCTCTCGCCGGTGTCGTCACGGAGCTTTAGGCGTGCAAGCCATTCCTCCTCAGTGAGGAGTAGACGACCCTCCTTGTCGACAGCTGAAATGGTATTTTTCTTCCGCTGCTCGACATTACGCAGTCTTCCGATCACCTCTTCCACCGTTAGGTCGTTCACGTCAATCAATGTCTCGATTAAAATCGCGACTTGCTTGAGGTGATCGGGGACGACCTGCAGCATCTTCTTCACGATTTCTGCCTCCGTCGATGATTTTTCAATGCGGATCACGAGGCTCGCCAATAGCATCACCACACTCGGTGACAGTATTAGCGAGATAGAAATCGTGAAGAAGAAGCTCGATGTTGGATTCCCGCACTCGCTGTACACCGACCCGACAGGATTTGATCCTCTCCCAGGCCGGTTGCGCAGTGCGCTTGGTAGAGAGAGATGTCAGCATCTCTGGGGGCACGGATCGTAATATGGCGGCGAACGCCAGCCGATCCTCCCGGTACTCAATCGTTTCTCCTTCCTCTGGCTCGCGACAGCATGCCATAACCCTTGCACCTGTAGGTTGACGCGCATCAATAAGGTCCACTCGTTATAGTTGGACCTTGTCAACATCGGATATACTGAACAACGACGGTCGTTGTCTTCCCTGATCACTCGCTCAACGACAACTCGACGCCCGTCATCACGGCGTCGGCGCGGAGGAGTGAGAGAATCTGCTCGAGATGGACCCCACGATGTGTTTATTTTCGCACTTTGCATTTTCTTTTACTCGAACCTGAGACCTGTGTGTTGTTAGGTCGACACTCTAACCAATATAAATCTTAGATTATATCAGTAGTGTAATGGAAGGAGTATGTGGTGTGGGAGGAGGATGGTCGGATGTTCTTTGGCTCAACCCAGACGGAGGAATGGGTACACCTTTCGGCAACATTCCAAAGTTGATTTTAGGCCAAAGAACATGCGGTGGAGGAGGTGGATAGTCTGACGTCCTTTGACTCGGCCCAGACAGAGGAATGGGTACACCTTTTGGTAACATTCCAAAATTGATCTTAGATTGTTTGCTTAAAATGTCAGATGATGCACGCAGTGGAGGAGGTGGATAGTTTGACGTTGTTTGACTCGGCCCAGACGGAGGAATGGTACACCTTTCGATAACATTCCAAAATTGATCTTAGATTGTTTGTTTAAAATGACAGATGATGCACGCGGTGGAGGAGGTGGATAGTCTGACGTCCTTTGACTCGGCCCAGACGGAGGAATGGGTACACCTTTCGGTAATATTCCAAAATTGATCTTAAATTGTTTGTTTAAAATGACAGATGATGCACGCGGTGGAGGAGGTGGATAGTCTGACGTCCTTTGACTCGGCCCAGACGGAGGAGTGGGTACGCCTTTCGGTAACATTCCAAAGACCAGGGGTGGAGAAGGCATCCAGTGAAATAATGTTCATTGGCTTGATCTAGATGAAGAAATGGATATTCCTTTTGGATGCTTTACAATTTGGTCTGTCAATTCCTCTTCTCGAATGGTGTCGTCTACATCGACAACAACTTTTTTAGCATCCGTTTTGTAGACTATGAACTGCAATCCAAAGAATATGAGAGTACACACTCTAAAAAACAAATTAGATTTATTTGACATCATATGTTCTATATGTTCTCTAAACTTCCATTTTTTCTTTTCATATAGAATTTGCTTCTTAATTTAGGTTAAAATTAAGGTCCTCCTTTGCTATAAACCCTAAAATTAACATTTTATTGTTAGAAGAAAACAATAAAAAGAATTGTTTGAAATTTGTTTGGTAATAAGTTCTTAGGTTCACAATTGGCATTTTTCTTGCAGCTTCTAAATTGTGTTTCAAAGTTTTCAAAAGTAATGTGTTGATTCAATGTTTAGTTTTTGTTTATGGTTTTTTTTATAACAATGGTGTTAATTATTAAATTGATTTCCGTGTTGTTAATTTTTCACTTCTAGTATATTTATTTAAAATATTACATTTTTATGTTTTAAATTTTATTTGATTCGACAGTAGCAAGATAGATATTTTGAAGACCGCACGTTAATGGCTTGTTCATCAATTTGATGACATGTCAATTGTTTCCAAGAGAATTGTGGAGATTAATAAGCGTCGATCCACTACCGGTTATTTGTTCACTATGACTAGTGGACCTGTTTATTGGCTTTCAATATTACAGACTACTGTTTTATTGTTTACTACCAAAGCATATATGATGGTCATTGAAGCCTTTAAAAAAACATTTGGATGCATTGTTTGGTTAATGACTTGGGTATTTCTCACGAACACGTAAAGATTTTTTGTGATAGCTAGAGTGATGTTTGTTTGTCGAAGAACAAAGTTCATCATGCTTGAACCAAGCATATTCGTGTCTTATTTCATTTTGTTAGAGAACTTGTTATTGAAGGGACAATCGTTTATTTAAAATTGGAATTGCTAATGATCATATGAATATGTTGACAGAGGTGATTGGAAAAGTGACAGCATTACATAGAGTTGATCAAGATTGGACGGAAGAAATAGTCGGTTTGATTGATGATAGCAAAAGCAGGTTATCTGCTTGGAGATCTTCTTTAAAGGTGGAGATTGTTGAGAATTGTCATGAAAACTTGGTTCATGAATACACTTGTAAACACTGTAGTTATTGTGATTGACTACTTCTCGTGGATGTATGAGACTTTCTTCTTTTTGAACTACGTAAATCTTTGTTTCTATTTGTTCAATTTATGTTCGTAGGTGTGTGAGTGTGATCGATCTTGTTTCTGTTTCTACTACAACAATTGGTATCATAGCACTTTAGTTATGGCATTTGGGTACAACAAACACAACCTTTGAATTCAGGGTTTATGGCTATGAGAGGTATTCAAGATGGAACTTTAAGGGCCAAGGCTTTCCTCCAAAATTATTGAAGATATACCGTTTAAAATTCATGAAAACATCACGAATGCTTGGAGATCAATTTTTCTTGCATGGGTTAGGAGTTCAAATCGCTCATTTGATGCAAGAAAATTTAGCATAGCAGAAAACTTCACAGAAGAAATTAATGGTGATTAGGTACTTTCCATAACGTGCACCTTGTACAATTGGACACCTTTTGATGGTGCAGGTCAATTCCACCGCATGCCCTTGAATGCTAAGGCTGTTCATTTCAAAGGATCCAGAAAACGGTTTATGCTAGAGTCTTGGATCTTCTTTAGATCCTCTTCCAGCATCTCAATCTCATACATGTTGTACCTCATTTTAAGTAGCATCTCAAGGAAGTATGGTTTATAAACAAAGATGAAAGATTTAAAGTTGAATTGATCGTTGAGGAGCAGATTCAAGCTAGTACCAAGAATAATTAGTA